GTTAAAAAAAACTTGCACAAAAGCTTTTGCAAACAAATTTTCTAAAAACCGATTTAATTTCATTTTTCCATGACTAAATGCCAGCAGCAGCTAACTCGCTTCGGAAAATCGCTGTCGGGCAAAATAAATCACAATAAATTGTGCAGTTGTGGTCAGCGCCATTGCTAAGCTAGAGTTTTGTTTTGTATGCATAAATCAGCAAATCGAAAGCAAAAACAAAAGAAAGTACAAAATACGTACATGCAGAAAGCACCCTAAATTTTAGCTGCATTTCTTTGTAAACGAGCCGCAAAAGAACGCTCAACTCTTGTAAAATTTTCTTTTGGCTACTTATCAACCCTGTTGCTATCTGGGAAGAAATATGTGATTAGTTTAATGAGTTTTATTATATACAAAAATCAATGAAAGTTAGTAGTTTTGAGAGGTATTTGCATAATATCTTTATCGAATTCCAAAACAAGGCGCTTATTCCCAGCGACCTACAAATCGTACAGAGACAAATTATACATAAAATTAAAATGCACGATCGGAAACTTACTTAATTTTTACCCCAATTTTATTAGGTTGGAATATAACTATGTAATAATGGTGCACCTAAAAGATACAGCGATTTCCATAATGAAGTTACATGACTAATGGCTAGAGCTCGGAATCTCATGCAAATGCATGTTTTTATTGGGCATGTTCGAATCGTAATTATTAAATTATCTTTACGAATCGTGAAATTTCGTTTAAAATGGCATTCACTCGTTAGTGCATACATGTTTTTGCATATTTATTGCTCATATTATAAACTCGATTTATACATAAATGAGTAGTCCACTTGCAAAGTGCGCTATGTGAATTTTTTAGATTTTTAGTTTTTGGTGGGTAACGTACCAGTATTTATTCATGTCCACTAACAACAAAGTGCAAAATCTTTCTCTATGAAAAAAAAAATCGGACCAAATGTTAACTCTTCTTGCGAAAGTCGCTATCATACATATTTATAAACTTTCAAAGGCTCGATCTTCTGATGAACTTAAAAAACTGCATATTTTTGAAATTTGTAGTCATACGATGAATTTGGTCAATGATGTGGAAATAGGGCTGTAAATTTCCATTTTAAAGTTACCTGATGACAATACGAATGAAAATTTGATTGATTGATTCGCGTGTTATTCTATTATAATTATAATAGTTTTATAATCTATTGAATTTACGATTAAAAATATGAAAATAAAAATATGGTGTGAAAAACTAAAAACTTGCTTTTATTACAATGTGAACTAAAAAGTAAAAAATAATTATAGAAATACAGATTTCGTTTAAGAGGAATTGTCCTGCTATTGACAATATTCAGTATTACTAAACTTTAAATGAAAAGTTCAAAAAAATGTATATCAAGCACCCCACATTTCGATTTCCAGTAAAATAAATTTTATTGTCAATTACTTAAAAGGTTGGTTTTAAAAGTTTAATTAAATCAAGTTAGGAAACTTCCTATTCCTCTTAAACGAAATCTGTATTTCTGTAAACTATTTTTTAATTTTTAGTTCACGTTTTAATAAAAGCAAGTTTTTAGTTTTTTAAGCTATAATTTTATTAATTGAGCAAAGCATTACTACGTTCATTTCGATAGCCGCGTCTCAACGGGACATAAGAGAATGAGAAATTGTTCCATTTATTCGCTTTCGTCCCTGCTTTTTTTTTATATCAAGCAAAGCATTGCTACGTTCGTGCGAATGTAGGCAGCGATACAGCGGAATTTTCTTTCTTTGAATCAATCTTTGAATAATTTTAAAACTCAGGAAAACTTAAAAAAAAAATCCTACACTGAGAAAAAAACGCGTTGTAATAATAAACAATTTTATACAATTGGTTGCTGCCAAGAGACCATCAGACAGATCATAAAATAAAAATTGTTTTTGTTTTTTCTTAATTATAATTTCGTATAACGAAAAAGCATCTGTGCACTTCACAACGACATATTTTATAACGGACATACTCAAATTTAAAACGAGTTTTTTTTTTAGTTCTAAAATTTTTTTCCCTCAGTGCAAAAACAGGAATTTATTTTTTACAGTACAATGTAAATATATGTATGTCCAAAAAGTTACAGCAAGTTTTTACATATTGTTTTTGTTGTTATTTACTTTTGCTTATTTTTTTTATATTTATAAAAATATAGTTCAGTTTTTAACAAAACCCGAGTAAGTCCAAGTTTCCAACTTGTTGCATCATTCAAAAACTTTAATATATTTACGAGCTTTTTTAAAAATTCTAAAAAATCAACGATAATTTTTGTCCATTTAAAGCTTGTACTTTATTCTACTAGAATTGAATGGGCTACAAAACTCAGAATTTTCCAGGAAATCTAATTAAAAAATTTCGGAATTTAGTTCCATTTTTTTTTTAATTTTGTACTTTTTAATTCAGTGTCACACGATTGGT